AATCCGTTTTGTTAGCGGCTTTACACAAATCTGCGGGTGAAATAAAACAGCAGATGTGTATTTTGTAGCTTGTACACACTTTCGTAGTAAAATTACGCAAACCACAGCAGCTATATTACACTCTAAAAAGTCCGAAATTTAAACAAACTATTCGTGGAATAAGCGAGCATGTAATTTCGCGAATAATAAGGTAGGGAATCAGTAACCTACCTTTTAGCTAGGAAATCTACACAATTTTTTTTTTAGAGTGTTGCATTTAAAATATTTTACTCACAATTTTCGGAAAAAATGTATGTATGAATTAATTAAAATTTTAATATCACAAAAATTTTAGTATCACAAAAACCAAATTTCAACCAGCTAAAATTTTAATAATTTTTCCCCCGCCTTACTTTTTCGGTTTTTTTTTTTGCGAACGGTCGTGCGCATTTTTCTCTATAAGAAATTGTACAACACCGTCAGGCAAAAAATTATCAATTGCATACCAATTTTATGAATTATTAATATTCAGAATAAAAACTTTGAAATGTAGGTGAAAATTTGTTGTTTTTGTACAAAGTTTGAAATAAATACCATTGGATGAGCATAAGTCTGTCTTTTAGCTTTTAAAACTCTATTCCATTTATTATCATCAATTTAATTTGATTATTCATCAATTTACGCGAAAATCCTCTGCTCATTTTGGAACTCACTCACGTCAATCAGCTAATCAATCCAGTCGTTACTTCCAACTCCAACAGTCCTTGCCAATCAGTGTAGCATGACACACTTTCCGTTCAGCTTACATAAGCTTAGCAACAGCGCGCATGAAGTCGTTGATTTTCCTTTTTTCCGCAGGATGCCTCCGTGCTGCCATATATGTAAGTAAATGGAGTCATTATTGCAGTGCAGCGCTTCACCGCCAACACCGCGTTGACATAATCTGACTCAATAATCATACTTGGCACACATACACTTCAGAGAACGTTGGTTGCTTAGTTTCCATGACAAAACTTGGATTAGCTCAAAAAGTAAATAGGTGATGTACACTAATAGATACCACCTCCATTTAACATATGCACGAGCATTTGCTGGCATATGTGCGCTCGGTAAAAGTGTAGTGAAAAGTTATTGCTGCTATTGCTTTCCACTGGTTATGGAAGCATTTTTTGTGAATTCTTTTTGTGGCTATAAACACACATACATATGCACAAAATACGTGCAATGCAAATGCTGCAACTGTTAACGCAATATTGCTGTGTCGCATGTTGGATGTTGCAAGAACTCTGCCAATCACCTACTTTTCCAACCAGGTAATCAAAATGATCAGGAAATTTTCTTATAGCACTGAGTTGTAGGGAAATTTTTTTGCCACCCCATCGAACAACGAAGGAACATGTTGAGACGGTTAGGAACAGTGGTACGTTATGTAGCTGTTAAATTAACATTGTTTACATTGCCTAAAAATGTTTTAGGAGGAAACTTGAAAAAATTAATTTTTAAGTGCAGGGAAACTTTTCATCCCAATTTTTATGATTTTACTTAGTAGGATTTTCTTCATAAATCAGTTCGCCGTATGTGTACCGCAGGACCGCTAGATTATAAAAAAAAAAAAATTTATTGCAACTTTCATATTTTTATTTCTTTTCTATGCTGATTTACATGTATTCATTTTAAGTTTCAGTTTGTAATTCTCTTTGACCTGTCAATTTATATTCACTTTGTACTTTTCTTACTAAAGCATATTTCTTCTCATGTCTATCGCTGTGACCATGTGACCTCAGCTTCCCTTCACTTGAATTCACACGCTGTTTGCTGACTCACTTATTGACTTTCTTTGAGTAATTACCTGCCTTAGCAAATGATTACCATTTCTGCAGATCTATTTCATTAAGCTTTACGGCAAATGATGGAACGGCACTTGACTAGTCAAACGTACTACATAGTATACATACATATGTATTTACATACGAATATACCTACCTTAATATATTCTTATTCATGTATATTAGTCTTCGTCCCGTTCCATATAAAAAAAAAAAAAAAAAACGATTCACCTTATTCGAATGAAATGTGGAATTTTATCAATTTTGTAACTCCCATCAATCGAGAAAAATGCGATTTCTCAGGGTATTTCCAAAGCTCCTTTTTTTAATTCTACCAACATCTGAAATATAGTTCAACGTTTCATATATTTTGATATCATTTCGCAGTACATACCAATTTCATGAAAATGGAATAACTCAGCCATTTTTTTTTTATCTGTTTTTCACTTTTGAGCTACCCATGAAAGACTATTATTTATGATTTCACTTTTTGAAAAATTCTTCCATTCGAACAAATTTCTTATTATGGTTTTCATGGAGCTAAACTGATTTATTAATAAAGAAATAGTGGTGTCAAGAGGAAACCTCGATTCCTTAATAAATATATACATATGTATATGTATGTATGTATGTATATTGAGCACCAAAATCAATTCAAATATGGTTGAGATATCCAAGTATCTATCATACACAATACACATGCACAGATTTATTTGTTTATATAAGCATACTAATTTCTTGCTTCTGTTCAAGTTCGTGCATTCTTTGTCGTATTCACAACGTAAAAGTTCATGATGTAGTCACTTGTTTTAGCAAACAACTATGTGTAAGCAAAATGTTTTGCGTAATCAGCGTTGACGTGTTTTTAAAGCAAATGTACATACAAATAGTAAATACTTACTCAGTTATCTGCGCAGGGGGGCANGTATATGTATGTATGTATGTATATTGAGCACCAAAATCAATTCAAATATGGTTGAGATATCCAAGTATCTATCATACACAATACACATGCACAGATTTATTTGTTTATATAAGCATACTAATTTCTTGCTTCTGTTCAAGTTCGTGCATTCTTTGTCGTATTCACAACGTAAAAGTTCATGATGTAGTCACTTGTTTTAGCAAACAAAATGTAAGCAAAATGTTTTGCGTAATCAGCGTTGACGTGTTTTTAAAGCAAATGTACATACAAATAGTAAATACTTACTCAGTTATCTGCGCAGGGGGGCAGGCAACACACCTGATTGCTTAACATTTTGCGAATATGCTAAATTTTAACTTAGTACTCACCCGTGTGCCCAGGTTAGCCTTTTTGACTTTAGATTCAGCAGTTATATTTTTGCTCTAGCTTCGGAATTTTAGGTAAAGCTTGGTGGCTTTTTTTAATTCTACCTTTTTTATAAGTATGTTTCATCTTTTTAATACTATGAAAAAAAAAATCGATTTTATAGAAATGTTTAAAAATTTTGCGGTCAACTATCCACCATGCTTTTTTTCTCTTATTACCTATCCGGAAATGTTTGACTAATGATTTTTCCTTACACATAATCATAAATAATCCAATATAGAATATCTTTTTTTACTTCAATATCAAAATTTCTACGATGCTACCATCAATACGTTTTCTTTCAATTGAAAAATTTACAATCAAATTAGCAAACTGACTGGCAATATTTATCAAGAGAACAGCTCTGATAATTATTGCTTTCAATAAGCAATATGCTATATACATTGTCAATATATTTGCCTGATAACATTACCAAGATAAATATGGTTGCCTATGAGGATGTCCCGTTATTTCCGTCATAAAACCAGTCGGCAGGGCTTTTTAAGTAAACCCTTACCTTTGAAAGCTCTATTGGAAGAACTTCCAAAAGCTATGCTATTCGAAAGCAGTTGAGAAGGAAGAATTGGAGCATGCGTGCCACGGTGTTATGGAAAAAAGTTAAATTGGTACTGCGTCATAATTAAATATATCGTAAAAAGTGTCTCCTTTAGAAGGCCTGCAACTTCCATATAAAAAAAAAAATAGTAGAGAGTCGAGCACAAAGATCGGAAAACAGGCCGCTCAAGGCCGACAGGGAAGGTTTGTGCGAAAATTTTTTAAAATTAATTTAATGAATACCATTCACTTGAATCTCTAGAGGTGCTGTTAAATATTTCCGGTATAAAAGTAATGCATTTTTTACGCTTATTTTTCCACTGCCCTTTTCTAACCTTTTTTTATAACTCAATTAAGCTTCATTTTTCGTTGTCGCCTGGTCACACTGGTAATCACTAACAGAGTTCAAAGCTACCGTTCGGTTAACTTATTTAGTAAATGCTAACAGAGTCAAAAAATGTTCTCATTAAACGCTCACTGTTAACAACCCTGTATCTCATACAGAGAATGTTAATAAAATTATATGCGTTACTGTAGTATTTATAGCGCTTAGTAACCAGTTATGTTATCAAGGCTGTTACCATAATAAATGTCAACAGAACTAGAAATTTCCTTCCACTAAATAACAATCATCAATAACATCGCTTAGTCAGAGAATGTTAATATAATGAGAAGCAGCGAATATTGATGTTAATTTTTTTATTACTAACAAATTCTGAAAGATTTGAGATGTAGGAATTCATCAAACAAAATATAAAATCACCACATAGTTTTTTACCAAAGAAAGAGATGAGACTATTCACCTTTTTGCACTTCCTCTTGCGAAATACCGTTAGACTTAAAATGTTAATTGGCTATTTTTAGATTTTTTATAAAGAAGAAAAGCGCCAAAATTATAAAAAAAAATTACTAAAAATGTCAATTGGCTATTTTCATTTTTTTTTTATAAAGAAGAAATGCGCCAAAATTTTGAGAAAAAAATCATGTAATTGTAAAATAACATATGTATTTGTAAAAAAAAAAATAATAAATGCTAACATAATTAGAAATTTCCTTGAACTAAATAACAGCCATCAGTAACATCGCTTAGTTGCAAATTAACAGCATTCAGTTCTAAGTAATGCTGCTAACATTTTGCTTACTTTTGCCAGCATTCGAATGCATTGCGCTGTAGCGAACAGCTATTATTATAATACATGTTCACTGGCGCTGTTGCTGTCATACTGTAAACAAACTGGTTCGCCTGTGTAGCTCGTTAATTACCCGGTCGTATGTTATTGCTTTTGCCGGTAAAACACTGTTGTCGAATGAAAATTTCCCTCAGTTTTAGTTTGGCTGCGTGTAGCAATGGTTTGGTGTGAATTAATGCACGCGATGTGCAGCTCGTCAAACCGGAAATAAACGTGCATTGAATATGTCGAATAAACAAAAAAAAAACCAAAAGTTGAAAGAATTTCAATAAAAACGTAGTGTATGAAATGTGGAAAATGTAAAAATTCCGCCAAATAGCGAGAATTTTAACATGTAAAATGGTGGGAAGTGACATATCATGAATCTGCAACAAAAAAAAATGCAGCTGTTTAACACACACACATTAAACAAGTTTGTATTTTGCAAAACAATTTATGCGTCCTGAAACTCAAAACTCAAAATTGTTGCTGTTGAGAATATGGATGTATATTCAACAAAAAATTGCGTGCATAAAATACAAATAATGCCATAGAAAATGTAAAATTTTAACAATAACGGCTTGAAACCTTATTCTACTTCAACAATCATCGGTAAACTGGTTTGTTTAAATGAAATTGGTGAATTTCATCATAACATTGATTATGTCATGCAAATTGTTGTATTGAATTAGTGATTGCTGGTACACAATGTTAGAAACTGCGAAATAAATTTATGCAGAAATATTTATTTTACAGCTCATTCAATATTTGCAGGTGACTAAAGCACAGCAAAACGCTACCAATAAAGCCCCAAAAGCAAAAGTGTGTTACGACAAATCAAATGTCTTAGTCACATATTAACAAATATTTACACATGCAAATTATTCAATGACGCTGCAGCAGCAAAAAATAAAGTGAACGAAAGAATCAATAACAAAAATTTTCAACTTTTGCAAAAATTCAAACATTAAATAATTGACAAAAAACGATTAAGCTTTTGATATGACAAGCAAACGCATATAAAATCCAAATAAAATTCGGTGTTAAAGCAACAAAAAAAAATGCCACTCTTTTGTGCTACAAGTGCTCAGAAAATTGTGCAACTGTAATAATTTGATTAGACAAGTGTTGAAAACTCTCCAACATCACTTACTCGGATACGCTTTGGAATACTCAATTATATTCAGTACTTTGTTCAAATCCTCCGAAATCACTGCAATAAAATGTTGGCTGTCAAAAATTTCTTCTTACCCGAGCGCACTACAACGGCCGCTAAGCCGCCCGAAACACCGCAACGTTTCTCACGAATGCCAGAAGCTTTTCTACGCTCCATACGACGGCGTTCATTGCGTGTAAAACGCGCCAAAAGTTTGGTGGTACCCGATCGCGAGAAGCGGAAATCAGGTGAGGTAGCGTGTTGTTTTGCGGAGTAGAGGGTTAGGGGAATGGGAACGTAACTTACCCGCATAATAGCCAATTAAGGGAAACAGTAACTAAATTTAAAAAAAGTGTTTCTTAACAAAATATAAATTTTTGTATACAATACGAAAAGCTTCAAGCTTTCACATTGCTCATTATCGAAAGCTCAAAGCTCTCGACTTCCACTGAAAAAAATTAGTATTTCGCCCTCACATTTATGCTAAGTTTTGAATAGAGCTTCCAAACTGTCATGAGTTTGCAGAGCTTTCACTTTTCTCGTTTACGAAAGCTCAAAGTTCTCGAATTATATTGACATGCAATGGAATCATATCTAATTCTTAACTATGAAATACGAGAAATGAGAAAATTCAGATTTCGAAAATTTGTGTATCCTTAATTTTTTCCATTTTAATTCAAAGAAATTACACGATCTTGAAAAAAAAAATATTTTCAAAAATTTTAAGCATGAATTTTATTTTCTAGAATATGAAAAAACTGCTTATTTTGGTTGAAAATTTTTTCAACATGTAATTTTTGACTCCCACTTATACTTAACCATTGCACGATCTTCACCAAAAGATTTTTAATAATTTTCTTTTCCTATATACATATGGGAAAACCCCAATTTTACTGATATAATTATTTTTTCCCACTTAAATTTAAAGAAATTGCACGATTTTGACCAAAAGATATTTTTAAAAACATTAGCATGAATTTTATTTTCCAGAATATGAGAAAAGCATTGTCAAATGTTGGTTGAAATTTTTTTCAAAATATAAATTTTTGACTCCCACTTTTGATTTTGACGCTGAGAGGTATTATTTCAGTCCCTAAATTTCTCCATTTAAATCTATAAGAAACTGCACGATCTTGACCAATAAATATTTTAGAATGTTATTTTCCTGAATATGGGAAAAACTCAGTTTTATTGATTTCATATTTTTTTTTTTCATTGGGATTTAAAGAAATTGCACGATTTTGACCATAAAATATTTTTTAAAATTTAAGCATGAATTTTATTTTCCAGAATATGAGAAAAGGTTTGCTAATCTGTCAAATTTTGGTTAAAACTTTAATAATTCGAATCTCGAAAATAAGTTCGATTTTGGCGTCTGTAAATTTTTTCCATTTAAATTTCCAAGAAACTGCACGATCTTGACCAAAAAAAACTGAATTTCCCTTATTTCATTGGAAATCGTTCTAATGAAATCTGCAAAAATACTTAATAAATTTCCTTCCTAAATTTTTTTCTTTAAAATTCTAGCTTGTACCGCTAATCCATCATATTTTTATTTTTATTTTTTTTTTTATTATATTGTTTTTATTATATATTTTTTAAATACTGCTGGCCCAAATTCGCCGTACGCCTCGAATTGTCAGCTAATTTGTGTTGGTTGTCACAAATTGTGACATTAATTTTGTGGCCAACACGACTTTTATGACTTTGGAACAAGCAAAATAAAAATCACCAAAATAGAAACATGTATGGAAAAAGAACATTTGGGCTTTGTACACAATTGGTGAATAACAATTTTTTATATGTACATACATAAGTATATGTATATGTTTTTGTTACATGTGTAGGTTATTATGCCTAAGCCAAGAGTCAATATTGTAAATCATTGCAATGTTGCACACACGAGTGCAACAGTGCGCTACTTATTGTAAGCTGCTACTGGTTAAACAACAGCTGCTTGAATGGCTGGCTAACTGCCTATTAAGCAGCAAGAACAACAACAATTAGAAGCATTACTTTTTTTTAACACTTTGGTGTTAACTGCTGGCAATAAAACAGTCGCGCATGCGCTAAATAAACACTTGACGAACGGCGCCGCGGCGTTTGCCAATTTTTTTAACAACCACAAATGAGTGTTGAAAACGCCGGGCGAAGGCGAGGAGGGACGGTATGTTAAGTGGTTGTTCGATTTGTGCTAGCCAAAACTTTTCACTGTTAATAATTATATTGCAATTTCAAATATATTTTAAAAAATCGTTGTTTAATCTCAACCCACTTATGAAATTTTTTTCTTTTTTCATCTATGCATTTTCGTTTTTCTTTTCTATTAATTTCGCCTCACTTGGCCCGCTTTTCACGTCCATTGCTCGGTTGTTAAGCAGTAATTGCTGTAAATGCTTACCTAATTGCTTTTATTGCAATTTGTTAACTTTTTTCTAGCCTGAATGAATTTAGGGTTTGCCTTAACAACTGCAGCGTGAGCAACGGAAATGCAAGCATCCATAAACTTTAGTAGCGTTTTTCCGCTTCACTGTGGTTTCTGCTTACCAACTTACCACTGCAGCGGTGCATTGGTTGAAAAGCTAGCAAATCGTTGGTTTTACCTAACTTCCAATTCAATGGCATACTTGTTTACAGCCAGTAAATTTTGTTGTTGCAATTGCAAGAGCGATTAAAAGTTGCCAGTCGTATCTGTTTTGTGGTTATTTGACTGCTGTGTTTTTTCAATATGTTTTCATGCTTTCAATATCCCTGACCACTTTTACTTATTTGTTTTTTTTTTTTTCTTATTTTTGACTACTGTTTTGCCGGCTCCGCTGATTTCCTTTTTTGCTGTTTATAAGCGGTTTTATGGCGTGTTTAACTAAGTATTTGTATGGTTGTCTGCTTGTTTAAGCCTTACTTTATTTGTTTTTTGAAACCCAAGCTTATTCGGAAGTGTGATAAGCTGGTTTTGTTTTTGTTTGCTTTTAATGAAAATTTTCAAGATCATCTTCCATGTTTCGTAATGCATTACTATAATTTTTTGCTTAAGGTAGGATTATATCATCTAGATCGGCTATACTCCGACTTGTTCGATATATATTTTACCTATAGAATTTTCGCTTTTAACAGAGGCTGAACTGAAAAATTGGCTGAAAATCTTAATTGTCTTAAGAGTTTCGAAACTTAACTGAATCTTGGAAAAAATTGCGCAACTAGTCGGTTAGGCGCTTGAGCCTGGATTAATATCCATGGGGCGAACCTGATCTCCGCGCTTTCAATATATTCGGAAAGCAATTTTTTTAAGCGACTGGTTTCTTTGATTATCCCTTCGAGTATAACAGAGCACAATTTGTTGCACCGCGTTTCTCTATTCACGCCGAAGAGTAGCACATTTCATTAGAGATAGGTTTTAAGCTATTCCACACGTTTCACTAATTCACTAATTTTTCCAGGAAGAAAGGAATGATGTTAATGGGTATATAGTCCACGAAGGAAGGCTGGAAGGTACCTTTCACTGCTCGTAAATAATATTACAATCATTCGAGAGCAAACTATGTAGGGAAATTCGGCCTTATAGCGAATCCCATTCCACAAAATTCCGATACAAAAACCATTTTTGCCAATTTGTTTTTGTTTCGCCGTTAAAATTACGGGAGCGATATATTCACATGAAATTGACGATAAGGCTGACTATCTTCATTTTTGGAAAGCCCAGAGATCAAGAACTCTCAGAGTGATAACTAACTAACTATGTATATTGAAGCAGTTTCATATTTATAGTTCAGTCAGAGACTACAGAAACTCATTAATGTAAAAAATACAATTTAGTTTCTAAAGTTTGGTATGAAAAGCCCAAAAGCGGCGATGACTATAAAAATAATCAACCACAAATTCTGTCTCTTTCGATTATAAAATTAATCTTGCTTGCTCTCAATTTTTGCATAATTTACATCAATGATGATCAGAGAGAGCTTTTATTTTGCGCGTGTCTCTTCTTTAAGCACATCCTGTGGGAGAACGTTTTAAAAGCTTTCCGTACAATTTAGATGCTCTTACAGCCATATAACCTTATTTATGAAAATTAAAATAGGTTTAAGATTTACATATAAAGCAGTTAAAGTCTTCTTTAGTTTTTATAAATTTGGCTGATAAGCCACAAGATCTTTGAAAGCTCTTTCTGGTCATCTGTGATATAAAATCTACAAAGGGCCCTAAAAAGCTTCCCCAGCGGGCAGTGTTGCCGTAATTACAGTTTTAATTGTAAATTCCAGTTTTTCCAAATAACCTCTTAGTACAAATTACGGTTTTTTTTTTCAAAATTTTAGATTTAAACGAATAACTTAAAAAGTTTCAGACAGTTTTTTAGGTGTTTTGCACAAAACTTCAAGGTAGGAGTGAAAAAAAACAATAGTCGCAAAAAAGCACCCTAATGTACATATATCAACGATGGGCAGAGGGAGCTTTTACTCTGCACGCCCCTATACAAAATGTATAAAAAGCTTAAAGAGCTTTACCCGAGGGCAAGGCGGTACCCATCACCGACATATATACGTAGCATGATTAACTAAAATGTAGTTGAGAACTGCAAGACACATTTATTTACAAATTCGCTTAAGTATGCTGCTACGTAAACGTCACACTGTAGAGCAACAGTTTCTAACAGAGTTACATATGTATGCATAATGATAGACAACCAAATGTCAGTTGTTGCAGCGTTGACAGTGGTCAACATCATTTTTACTAGTTTCATAAATAAATAAAAAATTATGCACACACTTGCATACTTACCTACTTACATACATACTTATGAATGCACAACTTTATATGTATATATGTATGTAAGTGAAAAAAGAACAAAATCAGCTTAAATGTTAGGAATTTGCGCACATCTTCCGCCTACTGACCACTTCATACCCCCCTACAGCGGGTGTTTTACACTCACACACTTGCTTCGCCAGTGACTGACATTTGGTACTACATATTGTGACTGTAAATATGACATGACAAATTGAAATTCGTTGTGTTAAGTGTGACGTGGAATTTATGTATTTAGTGGTGACTGTAATGTGTTGGAATTTATGATGGGAATTGCGTTCGCTAAAAAAAATGGGTCGAGAATAAATGCGAAAAGCTTGCTACGAGTAACAAAAAATTTTGGATGCTAGGCATTAGTAAACACGACACATTCTGCCGGTGTTCTGTCAGACGAAATGCTAAATATTGTTCCATTTACTCGTTTACGTGTTGCATATTTTAATGAATA